GCTCTTATTCAGCTGTTAACAACACATGTGGACCAACGTCAGTGAGGAACCATGCAGGACATGAATCTCACCTTCAGGAACATTTTTGGGTTCAATATTTTGGTCAAGAACACCTTATTAGACAGTATGAGTGGATGTGACAGTGCTCCTCCTAAACCACAGGGAATATTAAATATCCCAGTAAGAAGTACAAAAATGTAAAGATGATGTTTTAGCAAGCAACAATAAGAAAACTATGGCAAAAAAACAAAGGACAGCTGAAACTGACGTTTTGGGTTTTTTTTCAGCCATTTGGTCACAAAATAAACTGTAAGACATTTTTAAACTTGAATCGAATGAAACTGGATGAACAGTGTGAGGATCATCAGAGTTAATGACAATATGTCATCTGGAGGCTGTTGAAAGACTAAATTGTCTTTCCTTATGAGGCTGGTGAGCTGCAATGAGATTTTTGTGAAACTGAAGCTATGGTATAAAAATCATTTGTCAGAGTCTTACCTCTGATACTGCTGGATAAACCAAAACTCACTCAGGAAAAAGGTCACACAGAGCTCAAGTTTTCACTCGCGAGAGGGAAGCACTTGTCTCCAACCTACTTTAACTTGCTTCCCCTGTGCAGGTTGTTTTTATTGTTTACACACGTAAATATTCATAAAGCTTGTTGTTGTTTTTACTAAGAGAAATTAGTATATATGGTTACAAAGTGTGTGGTGCAAGAGTAGTTATACGATGTGTGTGGTTATATGATGTGAGTGCAGCCCTCCCAGGATGTTGTCGTTATCTTGTTCAGCCAGGTGGCTTCCTTCATTGAGTAGTCTGTTCTTCTCAAGGCTGTTTGTTCCCCTTATGGAGGTCGCGCACATACTCATATGCGTGGGTTACACAGGGCGCAAACAGAAGCATTCTAGCTTTTTAAATGGCAACCTACAACACATACATTAAACCTAACATCATTCATAATTATTTTTTTTTACATTCTGGTCCTGAGGAAAAAAGCTTTGGACTTTGTGATATGGCTAATCTCACTAATAATTGTACTTTAAAACAAATGTAGTGCATCTGTTTGTCTGTTCTTTTTGTATTTTATTGACAAATATTCAGAGACTTTATTTATTTTGGGCACATTAACAAGTCTGACATTGTTAGGATGAGGTTTTCTATTACTAGTGTTTCCCCTTGAGTCACTGCTACATCTTCCACTTTGTGAGGAGATTCTGTAACATTAATGCATTTTTAAGTCTCATGAATATAAGTTTACCATCAACTAAGTACAACACCTTTATCCTAACCCTCATTCAACCATAATTTCAGATTGAACCCTAGAAGCAAATGTTAAGTCTGGTGAAAATTGTTTTAAAAACTTGGATTTGTTCAGAAGGCTGTGGTTTAAATTAAAAACAGGACTCTTCACCACATTAACCTTTTAAGGTGAAGTGGTTTTATTACACTGAATGATGCATCATGGCACTCCAACTGTTAATTACTGGTAACAAGCTGAAAATAACACCACATTACAGTCACTATGAACAGAAATGAATATATGTTTAAAAAAAATAAAAGTTATTTAAAGTCAGCTAGTGCTGAAAGTTCCAGTTCCACTCATTTTTCTTTTTGACATATTTTTGATGGCAGAAACTCCATCCTCGTTCTGTGAGATACAACTTCCATCCATTTGCTTCCGCTTATCCTTTTCAGGACCGCGGAGGGTACTGGAGCCTATCCCAGCTGAATGTCTTTGCACTGTGGGAGGAAGCCAGAGTACCCAGAGGGAACCCACGCAAACACAGGGGAGATCATGCCAAGTCCACACAGAAAGACCCCGGCCTGATGGTGGAATTGAACTCAGGACCTTCTTGCTGTACGGCAACAATGATAACCACCGTGCCGCTCAAGATACAACTTATCATATTTAATTTGAGCTTCTCCTTCGTCCTTCACTGGATAATCAGCTTTTTCATTTCAACACTGCATGTCTTTCTTCAATGATCTATTTTCCTCATGTCTCTTCTTCCTCTCTGTGGCTCCTGATCAGAGTACAAACATAAAAAGAGAAAGGAATTTGTTTCTCCTGAGCTGAAATTTGTGTTTTTCTATAACTGCTGAAAACTGAAGTCCTGAATGTTAATCCACCTCCATCTGATTCTGCAGATCTTCATCCTTTTCTTTCAGACATTCTTGTGGTTCTGTTTGAACAGGCAGCATCTGCTGATCTTTGGTCGATTGCATGGGTTCATACAATTGTGATGTTGTAGTATATTGACTGTGAGCTGCATCATCAACATCCATATCATCATCATTTTGTTTTTTCACATCCTTTTTGTGCTTTTTAAAATTCTGATCCTTGCTTGCTCTTCTTTCTTCCTCAAATTTCCGTTTCTTGACTGGCAGTGTGCAGACCTCATTCAGTTTCAGTGCATTTGGACGATGTCTACTCTGGTTTTTCTTTTGATCAAAATCACATGTTCGTTGCATCGGCTCCTCCTCCTGTTTTTCTTCCACACTGTCAACTCCTCTCTCTGTGAGACTGACAGATTCCTCCAGCTGCTCTTTTTCCTTTACCTTCACTTGTTGCTCCGCCTGCTGCTCTCCTTCATGTGGGAGTTGTAGTTTTTCTCTCTCCTTGTCCTTCCTCTTTGTTTCCTCAGATCTGAGCCCTTCATTAACCTCCAGCTCCTTTCCCCGAGCTCCTTCTTTCCTCTCTGCTCCTCTCAGTTTCTCTGGCTGCTTTCTGATTTGTTCTGGGCTCTGTTGACATGTTTCCTCTGGTTGTTTCTTGTGGTTTTGTCCTTGTATTTTCAGATGTGTATCCAGTGGAACTTGGACTGATGAAATCATGCTTTCTGTCTGACCCCTCTGTTCCTCTGGTTGGTTTTTATTGTCTTTCCTTATTTTCAGTTCTCTCTCATCTTTCTCTCTTTCCCTTCGTGTCTCTGATTGAAGCCTCCTCTGGTTTTCCTCTCTCTGTTTTTCTGCCTCCAGTTTTGCTCTCTGTGTCTCCTTCTGTGCCATAAACACAGAATAAAGATTGTTTACTTCACCACTGTTTTCCTCTGCTCTCTTTTTCTCAGTCTCTGACTCTTTCATGTCCACATTTCTCTCCATCTGTCTTTTTTCTACAAGCTGCTCTTGTTGTGTCTCTTTTTGTCTCCATGGTTCTTCATGTGTTTCTTGTTTCATTTCAAACGGGGGCTCAGTTTTAGTCACAGCAGATGTTTTTGTTCCTGGACTGTCGGTGTTGCTCCTTTGCTCTGTTTCTTCCTGTTTTTGTTTTTTGTCATGATCATTTCGTTGTGTCTCTTTCTCCTTTTCTTCTCTTCCTGTCATGTCTTGTGTTTCTACAGTAATCAAAGACTCTTTGTCACTAACAGTTAATGGATTTATTCTCTTTTCTTCTGGCCTGTCAGTGTCCCTTGTTTGAACTGTTTGTGTCACATGCTGATTTTGTTGTGTTTCTCCATCTTTATTTCTCAGCTCTCTGATGTCCACATTATGTGTTTCATGCCTTCCTCTCCTGCTCTGTTCTTCATGTGTTTCTTGTTTCATTTTAAACTGAGGCTCAGTTTTAGTCACAGCAGATGTTTTTGTTTCTGAACTGTCAGTGTCCACTTCTTTGCTCTGTTTCTTTTTGGATTTTTTCATGACCATTTTCTTTTGTCTCTTTTTCTTTCCACTGTTGTCCACATCACCCTTTTCTTCTCTTCCTGTCACATCCTGTGTTTTGTGTTCCATCTTAATCAAAGACTCTTTGTCATTAACAGTAGATGGATTTATTCTCCTTTCTTGTGGACTCTCAGTGTCCCTTCCTTGCTTCCTTTCTGTCTCATGAACATCATGTTGTGTTTCTCTTTCCGATTTAAAGTTTTTCTCTTCTCTGTTGTCCACATCATCTTCTTCTTCTCTTCCTGTCACTTCCTGTTCTTCCTTTGTTTCTTTTTCTATTGTAATCAAAGACTCTTTGTCATTAACAGTAGACGGATTTATTCTCTTTTCTTGTGGACTGTTTATGTTCTTTATTTGTTCTGTTTCTAAAACAAACTCATCTTGTTTGGTTTCTCTTTCATCTTCATGTCTTTGGTCTTCTCTGCTGTCCACATCATCATCTTCTTCTCTTCCTGTCATGAGTGGTTTGCTTTCTCCATCCACCACCTTCATCCCACTGTTATCATTTTTAGAGCTGATCGTGTTTTTCTTCCTGGCCTGTTCAGCTGCGTCCTCCTCACTCTTCTTTTTTTCTGTCAAATAAAAGAAGCAGGAGAAATGGATGAAGAACAATATGAAACAAAGTTCTTGTTGTTTTTTTGTAAATGGGTAAAAGTGAGAAAAAATAAATAAATTACACATTAAAGTATTTGAATCAACCTCAATAAATGAGCAGTGATTGAGATTTAGTGCCATCTAGTGGTGAATTTACCAGATACAACCAACTGTTAGCCTTGCAGATACACATAAACAGCGACAGACATCACCACTGTTGGAGAGTAACGCAATACACGTACCACCGTTACGCATTTAAAATACACAAAATGAGTAACTGTAATCCGCTACAGTTACCGTTTATAAAGGTGGTATTCAGAATACAGTTACTTTGTTGAAATAAATGGATTACACGGCGGTATTTTCCTGTTTCATATGTTAGGCTATGCCCTCTCTATTTTTGGTAATTCCACGTCGTGGAAA